TCTCTCTCACACACACACACACACACACACAAAGGCACAAAAGAAGGCTTAAAACGGTGTGAGTTACATTGTGTCTTGGCGTACGAAGTATGCCAATTAAGTGCTCTGCTCAACATTTTCAGCTTAATTCTAACTAAAACCACCATGTCCTGAGGCAAGACTTATTTACTAGTTCAAAAAACATGGCAAAGAGAATGATGTTTACTATTTTCGTGATAAAAGCTTTCTACTTCTGCCATTGAAAAGAAGCAGCGTAATAAGCTACTAATACATCAGTTTTGACTTTCGAGTACCGGTGAATTCACGTTAACTCAATGCGTATCTCCTCATGTAGAAATAAAATTTACTCTCAAAATTTTCCAACATACAGAATCCAGAAGTTTGGTCATCTGAACTGAAAGTATTTCTATTATTAAAATATCTTGTGAAAAAAGATGTCAACTTCGGTTTTACATTTTTCTGTTGACATTGATAACTTTGCTCAGGCAATCCTTGTTACTGACTGGTAAATCTAATAGTTTATCTCTTAAACTCAAACTCTGAATAGAATATTTTACAGTTTTCTTCATAATTATCATTCTGTCCGTCCAACTACAACACATGTTACTTTGACATTTGAAAATTAAGAAATAATGCACTCATTCATCAAAGGAAAGAAAAAAAGAAGAAGGGAAAAACAACATTGAATGCAAAACTCTTGCACATTTTGAAGACAGTATAGTACTAACCTCAACAGAATATATGTTCGTCTGGCCAGCGGTGTCCTTCTCAACATATCCAGTCCAACCACGTTTACGAGGTGGAAATGTCCCAGAAACTTTTGTCTTCTCACCAGCCAACCATTCCACGCTGACCTTTCCAACCTATTCATGCCACAAGAAAAACATCAGTGTATATTTATTTAGGTATTATTTTCTGTCAAGTTTAATGCAACTAACTATACTGTACATAGTGTTACTGATAAACTTGGCAATTACCTTAAAAACCAACTATACTTAATTGAGGGTAGAAGAAACAGAATTGCACAACAGCCAAAAGAATGAAAAAAAAAAACAATAGAATTGAGACTCAATCAAATTTCTATCCCATTCTGGCTTATGATCTTCCGAAGTAAGAAATTGGGTTTTTCTGGAAATCTGTTTATGTGTATAAAATATTCCGGGT